GCCTATCTCTGCAACTTGTCGGCGGTGTACTTCTGTGTACGGAACTGAGGACTCTCGATGGATTGAAGATAAACCGGAAATTGCGATGATCCGTGTACAACGAAAATACACCCTGTCGATGCAAGAGATAATCCGCACGCTGACAGGTGGCCACTATAGCAAAAGCCTCTTTTTCCCCGATGGCCCATGACAGCGCAGATCCTGAAAAGGTTTCGCTAAGAAACATCAGCGGCTCGTGATGTTGCTCCGAGAAAATTTGGTCTTTGTGGTCCGGTGGAATCTGACTTACAATTGCTCCCCAATGTGACTCGCTAGCATCGGTAAATACCGAGAGTGGGTAGTTCGCTTTGACATGAGCGAGTTCCACTGCGTTTCCTAATGCCTATTTACAGGCGTGGAGGCACTGTGTGTGTTCTGATGTCCAGCCAACGTCAGCTAGTTTTACCCGTAAGACTTGGCGACGGGATCGTCCACCAGCCTTCCGAAACTTCCTCCAAGAAGTCCATCAGAGGCTGCGTCAACTTGTTGTGGCCTGGGATGGACATCCTCATCCAGCCCAGCGCACACACAAATTGTTGCAGATCTTGACCGGTAGCGGGTACACCTAGCTCTTGAAGAGCTCTTATCCGTTCCGGATCGTGGCGGACTCCATGTTTTGAGATCAAGCGTCCACACCATTTTGCTTCCTTCAGATAAAAAGAACACCTTGAGGGATTCAACTTTAATCCCTTGGTAGCACACACTTTAAGAACTCCTCGTAGCAGCGTAAGCAAACCCTCCTCTGACTTCGCGTAACCCAGTAGGTCGTCCAGCCAGATTAACAGACCGTTGTACAAGAAGTCTTGGAATATCACTTGGACTGTGGCTTGGCAGTAGGCCACGCTGTCTGAACCCCCCATAAAGACGCGTGTCGGCGTAAAGATTTCCATGTCCGTAAGAAAAGAAAATAATTCCTGCCACTCGAGTGACAGCAGAAACTGCCAGTACCCCTTAAAGAAATCCAGCAGAAAATAGAGCTCTGATTCATCCAGATAGTCCGTGATTACTTCCAGAATGGGCATTGAACAGAGATGCCTAATTGTCCGAGCATTTACGTGACGAACGCTCACTGTCATGCGAAATTGACCCGGCTGCGCTTTCTTCACAATCAGAGGAGGGGAATATCACTTGCTGTGAGGATTGCGATAGCAAAGTCCAGCATCAATGAGCTCTTGAACATGTTTATTCATAAACGCCCGGTGCTCTGGCGGATAGCGCCGGGCTTTACACCTCGATGGCACAGCGTCCGGTTTCAGAGTCACTTTCAGGGGCGGCATGTCGACTGGAGGGTCCCGCCCGAGTTTAATGTGGAAAACATCACGGTTTTCAAAGAGGATTTGTGTTAGTTCAGTTCGGAAAGCAGTACTGCACCCCAGCTTCGCAGCCTCCTCCAGCTTAGCTTCCTGTATACTCCACTCGACTACACACTCATCCTCTCGGTCCTGAGCGAAATCTACTTATGGAAAACAGCATTGTTACTCCTCTTCCTGTAATCCTTGTTCCTCCGGCGGAGTCGCTGGTTGTTGACCCGTCGATGCATATGCTAGAACCCGTCGGACACCGCTCACCTCGAAGCCGTCATCCATGTCGTATATTCCACTCAGGCATTCCGAAATAATCATTGTATTGCTGCTTCAATACAATAGTTTACACTTAATTATTGATTTTTACAAATTGGATGACTTTGTCCAATTAGTTATTTTGTATTTACAACAAAGTACTTTATTTTTTCGTAAAATCTAGTTTTTTCTGCTTTGTTTTGCGTAAATACGGAGCTCTCCAGACAGAATCGAATGGCTGTTAGCAACGGTCGCTCAAAACGCGAACCTGAGGCGCTCGTCTATCATTTTTGATCTCACCATGGCTCTCGCCAACACCTTCACGACCAAGCAAGTCTGCAGCTACTTTTTTACTGCCAGCTTGGCGACTTCCAGTCGGCCACCATGAAGCTTAAAGACGACAACGTAACGCTTCTCGATGTGCGCGATATCTTTGATGCGCTCATCGAGAAGCATTCCGTTGTGAAAAAGTATCTTGCTGCCGACGCAAATACGTGGACTTCGAGCGAGCGTGCGTTGTAGCCCTGTCAGGCGCCGTGGACGAGCTGACGAACGACCAGGAGCTGATGTTGCAGCCATTTGAGACGGTACCTGCAATTACGACACCGGACACAAGGCACGGACGCCCACAGGGCTTTGCCGACAGAGTCTTGGCGACTAGAAAAAAGCGGCGCGGTGCAAAGAAGATATTTGATGGTGTGCTTTTCATCCCGCCGACGTCAGGAGCGTCTTTTAGTGTGGCGAAACATACTCTTTTCCACCATCGCCAGCGTATGCTGCCTATTCACCTTGAAACCGTGTTGTTCCTGAAGATGAATCGGCGTTTCTGGGACGCAAACACTGTAGCAGCTATCGTGAACGCAAAGTAATGTGCAGTGCTGTACATCTAAGTAGTTAATTTTCCAATACACTACTATTGATGTCAATTATTTATTTCTTAAGCTGTAGTTTTTGTAGCAATAGCTTATTTTGGCATGGACCTTCAATATGATTGCAATTGTATTATCGGAATGCCTGCTGTCATCTCTCCATCTTCTACGGTCAGCGGAAAGCCAGCGTAAAACCGGGTGGGGACTGCAGAGGTGGCGCCGTGCTTGTGGAAGCGTACGTCTGCTTCGTGATGAGCTGCCATGAATGGATACGGAGACATCAGTGCATGTTGGCATGTAGTTTGCGCCCGAGGAACGGCCGCTCCAACGAATCCGGGGTGTGTGCCAACCACAATATGCTCGTGTTTCGTACACATGATCGTCACGAACGCATACGCGCAGCCCAAGGTCTTCACCGCCAATTGACACAGTAACTCGAGGTCGTGGACATCAGGTGCAACAACCTTCATGTCTGTGTGTGGCGTTTCCGGCGCGAAAATGTCGGCGAGTTCCAATAACCCCGCAGATTTAATGCTGGCGATACGTTCGGCCTCGTTACTTGGAATCGGAGAATGTGGCACGTCGATGTTCGGATCTCCCGGTAGATCCAAGAGATACGTGCGTTCTTGAGCGTTGATTAGTCTACACGCTTCTAGACTGGGTAATTTACGCTCGTGCTTAGTATCTCCCTGATCTTTTCAACGGCTTCCATCTCTTTGAAGAGAGGGGGTTGATCGTTGTCAGTATCGCCACATTCTGCACCAGCGTCTTCGTCGTCAGAGCTCTTCTCTTGTCGAAGAAGGATCCGAATTACATCCATAACAGCCACGTGTTCTACACTACTAGAGCGTGAGTTTAGCAGAGAAGCAGAGAGGAAATCCACCAGCACCGACACAGTTGAAGCTTCGTCCGAGTCTTCCACAACACGCGGGGGTCCACTGTGCTTCTCACGCTCTTGTGCTGTCCCAGCGAACACCTCTGAATACTCACAAGCTTGAACGTTGACATGACAGCGAGTACAGACGGTGATTGCAGCTACACGTCCAGAAAAACTCTCCATGTGGTCTGCAGTCCAACAGTCAGCGCACACGAGGTACCCGCACAAGAAGCAGCGTCTTGTGTCCAATTTGAGATGCGCCAGGCTTCGATTTGCAATAGCCGACGCTGCTATTGTTAACGACAACTCCATGGGGGCTAAACTGTGCGTGCAACACGGGCAACGCGGATTCGCCACCTGAATTCAGCTGATCTTTGCCGGAATTTGCACGCCGAATCGGCGACGACGAATGAGCTCGGGGAGTTTGGTGACTCCATGCGCCATCGCCAACAATCGACGCAGTTGCGCCTTGTGCTTGCTAGTCTCACCATAGCCGAACGGGAATGGCGGCGCGGATTATCACTCGAACTGGTGTTGGAGCTGGTCGTTTCGTCGCTTCTCCGCCTCGACGTCGTGCGTTTGTCAGCGGATTCTTCCACGTTAAACCAGGCGTGGAAGACGACGCGCAGACCTTTGGGATTGGGGAGTACGTCGACCAGATACGAGGCACTTAATCCGTGCAGTTGGTCCACGCGGGCGTTCAGTCCTGCGATGCGTCCTGGGCTCGACTCAGTGGGAGACAGAGCACGCTTTGTGATAGTGAAGCCATCACGCTCTTGCTTGCGTTGGAAATAGTCCAAGTAGCACCATTGCTCATTGTTGGCGAATTGCGGTCTGCGCGAAGCTTTGCGTCTTGACAGAGAGTTGTTCGTGGTTCTGAGTAACCGTCTCGCTCTGGCTATCGGCCGGATCCTGGAAACACGGCACCTCACGTTCATAGGACCCAAAGATAAAGTCCTTGGCGTACAGTGCCGACATGGAAGCGTTGTGCTCGCCTTCGGAGCTGGACCGGAGGATACTCGCCACCTCTTCGAGACTGGCATCCAGTCGTCCGGCACAGAGGACTTCGAGCTCATTTGGCCGCTTCTCATTGCTGCTGGCTTTGACTTGTCGTCGGAAAACCACAAACCGGTCCGCCGCTTCGACGCGTTTCCAGGGTCCGTTGGCCTCTGGTCCGGCGGACAAGGCGCAAAAGTCCTCGTTGTCGTGAGCTGCTCGAGCACGTTTCAGCATTTCTTGATCCGAAGTGGAAGCCCCAGATCCCTCTCCACTACTTGTTTGCTGGTTGCCGGGAAACCGAAAAATGTCAATACTCTAGATTAATAACACTCGATGTGAAGCTGAAAAAAATAATTAATCAAATATTTGCAAAACTTCGCAGTCACGCATGTAAATCAGAAACCATATCATCTCGAGCCTGGCTGGAGACATTCGCTTCCGTAGATCAGACAGCACCAGCTTAGCGAGAGAGAAGAAGCGCTCACACTCGTTAGACGTTAGCGGGATGTACGCGACGTCGACGTAGTGCGCAATTGTGTTTCTTGAACGCCGCTCTCATAATAGAACGTTCTTCGGCGGCTCTTGAAAGACGACCGTTCGAGATCAGGCGACCTAAATTCAGCGCAGGCTAATTTTTCCGCGACGTTCATCGCGTCCCCACGCTGTAACTTGACTAGACCTTACTCAAAATTGGGGTTGTCCCCGTTGTTGACAGCCATAAATTGATAATTAAATTAAAAGATTAGGATTAATTTTTAAGTATATTATTTTTTCGGGTTCCCTGCTTGCTAGTCCTAAAACAAATGCCTTGACCGCTCTAAGCCGTCGATTAAAGTCCACATCGGGCCAGTTGACAGGTAATTTGGACATTCGTCAATTAACTATTTAAAAATCGAATCGGACTTGTCCTCCTCCTTCATCAGTTTGTGTTGCGACGAAATATTGCTGATCACAGCTTGCGCATAGCAATACACCGGACGCCTCTCTACTGTAATCACCATTTACGTCCACCACGTGCTTGGTAAAGTCAGCACAGAGAAATGGATACAGTCCAGTCCATCAATATAAACTCTACAGCATCGCGTGTTGCCAGAACTAGTGAAACATGGCAGGGAGTTTCAAAGTGAAGAACTGGGTGCTCTATTTAGTTTTTGTTTAAATTTCCTAAAGTCTTGGAGTTACAAAACGACGTGTTAGAAGTTTATACTTAATAAGTGCCTTTTGAAAATCAGAATTGACTATGTAAAAAAACATAATAATAGAGGGCTTCGTACTACATGTACATACAAACAAATTTTGTTTATTTTTCTTTAAAAGCCTTGTATTAGACTCTGTATGGAATTCAGACTCTGTACACGCGCAGACTGGTCTTGCAGCTCAAATTGCATTTCTGGAGGTGGTTGCTTGCTGGTGTTGAACTCTGGTTATCTGTTCGCCCGTAAAGTTGGCTCAGAACTTGTGCTTAGTAAATGCATTGTTGAGCTGAGGCCATGGTGGGGAAAAGCGATTTACATCAAAAACTAATCTCAAATCGCGAGCAACATAAAAAAACCAATTTCAAGAAGTTTTATTTTTTTACAAGTTAAACTTAAAAGTAGCAATGATTTTAACCCTTTTGAGTATTACCAAATTGGGTGGAGAGAACCTCTCAAATCGTAAGTGTAATTAAGAGTACAAATAATAGTATTAACGGATGCGCCCGAATAAAAGCCCCCTACCGAATAGTGTCCTGTGGGGTGCTACATGCCTGCACTATTAAACACAAGCCCCTCCTAACAAATCTGCTATTACAAACTTGCTGACCATCCATTCTACAGAGAGAAACACTTTCCCGTCATTTCCAATAATGCCTCATCAAAGGTAGTCAGTTGGCATTGGGCGTAAGCAAGAGGTGATCAAGTGGATTAAATATGTCGTTTCAAGGACCTACTGTACATGGAAATTAACGCTTGGAAAGAGTCAGACCGAGTCGAATACACTCGCTTTGGTAACCCACGTATGCCAAGTGTTGACACCGTTTGCGATTGGGGCCTCCGCGCGTGGCGAGACACGGATGAGGCAACAATCATGCGGAGCGTTGAAATAGCAGGCTTCTCGAGAGACCCCTCGTCGTGGTTTATATCCAAGCACGATGTGTAAGGCGCAAAATTTCGTGGAAAGTGGTCGAAGGAACCGCATATGGACGAAGACGTTGATCTGTTAAATCTTTCATAGCTAGATGATGCGTTAGACGATATTAACCTGGTACACGAATCATTTCAGCAAGGAATAAAGTCCTCACCCGTTTAAAGTC